GACCTTTGAGCCAATCCTATCTGTCTTCAATACTACAAGTATTCCAATAAACAGAAGTGTTCACTGAACCAATGTTTAATGTTAATAACTTCAATATAACAGGTAATTAATACTCCAATAAAAGCTTCACACTGTACAGCATTCTTCACTGGTCCATTGTAAAATGTTAATAAGGTGTTAAACATTACATTTCAGGTACTGCTACAATTTACACTTCACACTCTGTATGAGTGAAAGCAGTAACAGTTATTTGCATATATTTATTATATAGAGTAACTAAGCAGCCTTGATGTTTAAAGGCCTATAAAATACTTTACGTATATGTATACGTTTTGAGATATAATAAATTGCTTTTAAAAAATTGAATAAATACGTAGCTCCGTACAACAGTACTCATTGATCTATGATATAATTTAAATAGATTAAAAAATATTACGTTAAAATGCAGTTAGAATTAAGACTTCAATTGGCACTTCAATTGTAGTTTCTTATCTATAACATGCATCAGTATTTGTAGATTACTCTATCCAGACCCTTCAACATTGTAAACAGTTAATACTTTGAGAATACTCAGCTATTATGTATTTTCGTGGTCAGTAAGATTGGGTTTTATTAGTGTTACGACATTTCTCACAGGTCTAGATACTGTTTAATGTCTTGGAAATATTTGCTCTTGTTTTAACTTAATAAACCTGCCCTTAAGAAATTACCTGTAAATGATTTTCTTTTTATCAGTAAAAAGCTACTTTTCAATGTTGAAACTAACTCCCTAATTTATGAAAACTACTTACACGTTTTTTATGGGTTTTTTCAGGCTGATTTGCTGTTTGCACACAAGCTTGTTAATAGCATCGTGGTTCAAAATTTTTTGGCTTTCTTATAACTTTGAAACAAAACATAAACACAGAATAAAATATGCTGTGTAAGATGACCTAGGTTCTACTAAGAGACCGTGATTGCGGTTTAAAGTTACTTAATTTACACTTGGAACATGTTCGCCCTTTCAGCCGTGGGGACGTTATATATGACTGTCAATTCCACTATTCGATCAGAGTAGCCAAAAAACTGAAAATGAGTGGTGTTGACTCTATTCTATCAGTTCTAAATGAGGGACTGCTAGCACAAATAGCCTAAGGGTAGCTCTGTGGGAAATTAAAAAACAAATAACACTTATTTTACCATTTCACTTAAGGTTTTCTTTACATTCTAAAAAAATTCAAAATAAACTCTTAGCTTTCTTAGTTTATTTTTTTCGTTTACTGATTATTTTAGGTCAATAACACAGCCTGAGTTATTTTTACAAGACAAAAACAAAATATAAAACTGGTTTCATGTAATAAACTTCATTTCACAATTTACTGTTCATAATCTATTTATTAGTTTGTTTTTTGCTAAGGTCAAAGCTACACAATGGGCTAACTGTACTCGCCCACCACAAGTATCAAAACCCGAATTTTAGCGTTGTAAGCTGTGATATTTACCGCTGAGCCACAGGAGGGGGCTATTTATTAATATGGAAAGTAAAACATACACATTAAAGGAGTCCATGATGATTTAACAATAAATACATGCACAGAAAAATCGAAGAGTAAAACAGAATCCAATATATTTGTATATTGGTATTCAGTATATTTATATATAAACTGTTTGCTGGCTGTAGTTGTGTGCAGTGCTCCCTCTAAGCTGCGCGGTCGCACAACAACCAATCAAGTGCCGCACACTTCATTATTCCAGCCGCGCACATTCTCAGTAATGGTAAGGAGTCCAACACGTTGACGGTCCTAATGATTCTGGCAGTCGATAGGCCTAAAACTCAAATTACTAATTGGTAGCATTGCAAAGGGACCTAATGATCCAATAGGATCAGTGGTCTAAAAATACCCCCCGCTCCTAAAAAAAAAACTGGTAGCGCACATGCCTTGATACTGGTGCACATGAAAAATTTATTCCGTACGCTGACTGAAAAAATTAGAAGGAACATTAGTTATATGTTGCGCTAGTTTAAACAACTGTTATTAATCTTCAGAGATTTGGAGAAAGTTTTAATACTACGTTTTACGGCTGTCCTGTTTTTCATTCCCTTGTAAAACCACATTATTTTAATACAAATTTCTAAAGCTTTTTTGTCACTTATCGTTGGTTTGTTTTTATCATTCTCTCTCTCTCTCCTTTACTTTAGTGATCTTATTTTCGATTTCTTATATTTTCCATTTTTAATTCTTTATTAAATGAGAGTCGTTTGCATAGTTTGATTAGTACTATTTTTTGCTCATTTGTTTCGAGTCATTAGTTAGCATTCACTTGAATTGTCTCAATTTATGATATTTCTTAGTATCAGACAAGCAGAATGTTTGGTTAACAAACAGACAAACATTCATTGATCTGTAGAATATGCTTTTCTGTTATGTGAAAAGTGTAAGAATTTACATCAGTTCACTCTCTTTCTCGAGTGGTGTTTTCTACGTTTGCTTCAAATATTTATGTATCAAAATTAGTTCAATGTGTTGTGATCCATATATGTAGTTCTCGTTTTACACCCTTCATAAGTTTGTGTGCCATGTAATAGAATGAAGGTTAAAGTGCGCAAAATATTGAACATAACACATATTTGTTGTTTTTTAAACGCACCTGGTTTCATCAAGCACACTTTTTTTTTAATATTACATCGTTTTTATAACACAGTTCTTTTATTATACGTAGTTGGTTATTAACACATTTGTTTTTATGACACATAGTTGTGTTTTATTATACTCAGAGATGTTTTACACACAAATTTGTTTTCATAACACATATTTATATCATAACAGTATTTTATAACATAGTTTTTCCATTGCACATTGTTAATATGTGTGCATACTAGTTTAGTTATTTCTTTACTCGACAATATCGAGCGTGTTAAGTTTTGTTTCATAAAAGTTTCAAAGGAAACTAACACGTATATTGTAAAACCCGCTAATTAGTTATTTCAGAGTGATATAAAGCGATGGTTTTGATAAACATAACTCTACTAATTCAGTCAATCAAAAATCACTTTAATAATTTTATCATTATGATTTAGGTGTCTGGCAACCGATAGGAATGGCTTAACGTGCTCTTGAATATTATCGTTTGGTTTTAGGAAGCTTTTATTCAGTGCTAAGTTGATTCTACATAAACAATTCACGTAGAAATGTACCTAGTAATTGAAAAGGTTAAACATATCTTGTTGTGTTTTAAGTCAGGGCTAACCTTCGTTTAGATAATGCATACATGCACATTAATAGCAAAGTTGCATAAGCCCTTTCTGAACGTCAGACTATGCGTCGGCTTTTGGGTCTAGCATGAAACCTATGCAAAAAAAGCTGGTAACATGCACCTCAGTTTAAAGCTAGGCCTTATCCGGAAAGTACCTTCTTTTATGATTGACTGCTTACAATGGTCACGCTAAGCTGATTAAACCCACCAGGATGACAAAATACAGACAACGTGACTTAAGCGCCAATAAGTATATAAGTTGAGTTCATTAGTCTCGAAAGTATTTAGTCCTAAGAGCATTTATAAACAACGTATTTCAGGATTTGTATAAATCAGATCATTTCAGCAGGTCACACAGAATCAGTAAGCACGTGTGTGCTGTAAACGGAGTTTCTGTATAACTTATGATGGAACTAATATTCCAGTTCTAGACTATACTCACGAAAGAAACCGGTAGAAAACAAGAAAATTAACAAAAAAACATGAAACATTATGGAACGTTTGCATTTTATGCTTTGTTGATTCCCTTGCAGAGACCTAAACTTGTTTCTTGTCTCTCTCTCTTTCTAAACCTAAATATATACTGGTAGAAATAGAGAGAAGACTTTCAATGAAACCTTTCTTTAATCATCTGAATCATGACTACATTACCGTGTTACCAACAACATGCTATATATAACCATACACATTTAATAATTAATGTATAAAACAAATCGTCTATATTTTGTATTACCTATTTTATTGAAAGAATTCTCAAGAATATTTTACACATTTTCATATTACTATGTATATACATATACGTTGATAAAAACAAACACAAAACATGGGGTTATTTTATTTTCCTTAAGTAATCATAAAATGTTATTTGCAATTTATATATATACAAACACATATATTTTGTATATTTTCAAACTACACAACGCTACCTCAGTCTTACGACGACAACTGATTAACTTGTTTCTGTTCATATGCAAGTTTATAAGTACGTTACACCCAAACTTTAGTATTAAAGGCATTATTTTTAATGTTCAACCTAAAAAAAAGAATATTAGTTGGGTATCTTAGTGATTTTGTTAAAAACCAATCAAGACCCATAATTTTTTTACTCTTCTTAATATGTTGCGTTTTGCAAAACTTTTGAGGCTATGATTCTTTTTAAATTGGTAATACATCATCGTGTTAACTGTTTGTACTCTACCCTGCAGTGTTATATTTTGATAGAATGTTGCCCATCACTTAACCGAGATTGAAATAATTACAAGAATAATTGTGATAATAACTTCGATTCTTCTTAATGTCTTCAGATTCGGGGTGTTCGTGCTACAGTCCACAACATATTATTATAATCATATATTTGTGATGTCATTTTCAGATCTACATACGAGAAACGGAACATGATGACGTCATCTCCAATGATTTTATGATACAACTTATAACGAAAATAATCTTTCAAACTTAGCGGCAAGTTTTACTATAATTCATTGGGACATTATAGACACGTTCGGAGCCGTAATGAGTTTCGTTATATGTATCTTTACCGTTTCACGTTTTCTTATATTTCCAGCATTTTAAAAATGGATTAAGATGATGTCAATGGAACGGATTCGACCCTCAACAAACCGTTTTCGGATGATTAACCATTTACACAAATAATACTTAGTCTGTGTCAGTGAATGATGTGTGCATCTACATTCATATCTGTATATTAGTAGTTTATAAATGTACTGAGTGACTGAAAATGTCGAGATAGTTTTCGAAAGTACACTTCAATGGTATCCACCTCCGTAGCCTCCATAACTTCCACCGTATCCTCCATAACCTCCACCGTATCCTCCATGACCTCCACCGTATCCTCCATGACCTCCTCCGTATCCTCCATGACTTCCTCCGTAGCCACCATGACCTCCACCGTAACCACCATGACCATAGCCTCCATAGCTGTGACTGTGACTATGACTATGACTGTGACTGTGGAGGTAAACGGGGTAGGGATACGGATAGTGAACTGGGTAGTGGACGGGTATAGGATACTTTTTTACAATTGTTTTTCTAAATAAAAGAAAAACAAATATAGGTATTTCTGTTTTAATTGATTCTATAGTGGTACCACATTTGAATTAATAGTACTAGCGGAGTCTAGGTATCTACACAATGATTTTAAATTTTCTTCCAATGCCTTAACGTCACGTGCATTACACATTATCTAAGCAATAATGAAAGCTTTAATTCTAATTTTTCGTTACACATTACGTAAGCAATAATGGGAACTTTAGTTTTAATTGTTCGTTACACATTACGTAAGCAATAATAGGAACTTTAATTTTAATTGTTCATTACATATTACGTAAGCAGTAATAGAAACTTTAATTTTAATTGTTCATTACACATTACGTAAGCAATAATAGAAACTTTAATTTTGATTGTTCATTACATATTACGTAAGCAATAATAGGAACTTTAATTTTAATTGTTCATTACATATTACGTAAGTAATAATAGGAACTTTAATTTTAATTGTTCATTATATATTACGTAAGCAACAATAGGAACTTTAATTTTAATTGTTCATTACACATTACGTAAGCAACAATAGGAACTTTAGTTCTAGTTCTACACAAGTGGAATAGGATACTACAATGAAGTACATATTACTTCAGAATCTAGGAGAGAAGTCCACAAAGCAACATATATTATTGCTGTATAAGAATTTGTGAGTAAGTCCTTGATTATGAAATCACTTCATATAAAACACTAAATAATCTTGAGGATTATCCTTATTTAACGTGTATTATAAATAAATATAAAAAAGGAATTTAATAAAAAAACGTGTTTACACGACGTTGATATCTTTCATCCACTTTTTTTTATTGAAGCAAGCTATCGACTCTAAAGACTCTTTTTATTTACTATTGCCGGTAAAAATTACTACTATTAATCACATTTTTCAATGACTTACTCAATGGGTAAAGGGATGGGAAGTGGGATTGGCAGTGGTAAGAAACCCCCACCCAAACCTCCCTTAAGTCCACTAAGCGCTCCGCCTAGTAGAAGTCCAGGAATAAGTCCAGCTTTAAATCCACCCTGAACATGATGAATCGTTATGCAGAGAAGCGTGAAGACGACTAAAGAGATGATGAATGATGTCTTCATGGTAACTGATAAAGAAAAGTTTCATTCACAAATGAATAGCTACTTGTTGAAGATTAGCAAAATAAAATATAAAGTACAAAAGTCTAGGGAAATAAGTATCGCAACACTAAACTAGGTAATTTATTCAGAATTAAAGAAACAAATTAACTTAATCATTTTAAGCATATCATTTTCATAGTTACTATAGTCTTAACCAAATTATACAAAATGCATGAAACTATAGCGAACTGTAACAGAAGTACCAAGCCTAATAAGATGAGGTGCTTAGAGCAAATGTGGATTACAACGTTAGATGGATTAAAAGAAATAAAGATGCATTTGTAATAACTCTGATGATTAACAAAAAGTAAATATTTGGAATTTGAACTTGACATATTTATTCGACTTGAATAGTTAAGAGGTCTAAGCGAGTGATGAGTTCTTTACCCTAGGTGTATTAGATTTCACGATCGGAAAAGTCTAGATATTTCTCTGTAATGGGACTCCCGGTAGCTCAGCGGTAAACTTGAGGGTTTATGAAACTAAGTTCGCGGTTCGATACCCGCAGTGAAACATCGCAGATAGCCCATTGTATATTTGAGCTTGAAAACAAATTTCTACCAAATAACGTTTACCGAGTTAAATAACACATGATTTCTTTAAATTTACTAAATTTCATCTCGTTACTGATTTAATTGAATCTCAGAAATAGTATAATTTCTATTTTTTGTAAATATATATATATATATATAAGTTATCTACAACGTAACAGAATTTTACAAAAGTTTTCAGTTCAGAATATTCTACTTTAGAAATGCCACTAAAGTTCACACTGAAATCAGTTCAAGTGACTTATGTGTATGACACTAAGACAATTTACGTCCTACAGACAACATTAAACAATTTCAAGCCTACCTTGCATTTGTATGGCTGTTATTTCTATTAGTGGATACTGTTAAGTTGTTTAGAAACTTACTATCAGTTGAAGCTATCCTATATATATATATATATACGAGGGGTGACTGGTAAAAACAACTTGGCTGCTCGATTGTTATTCAATAAACTAATTATCCAAATACGACTGGATAAGCTACCTATACTTATTTGATTGAAATACATAACTATCTTAATAAGACTGAAATAACTAATTATCCGAATAAGCTAGCTGTTAGTACCTAATTTAAATTGCTAACTATCCTTATGACTGAAATGACTAAGTCTATCTATATACGACTAGATAAGCTAGCTATCCTAATATGATTGGTTTGTTTGTTTGAAGTTAAGCACAAAACAACACAATGGGCTATCTGTGCTCTGCTCATCACGGGTATCGAACCCTGGATTCTAGTGTTGTAAGTCCGCAGACATACCGCTGTGCCAGGGGGGGAGCAGTATGGTTGGAAAATGTAACTAGAGAGAAGACAGCTAGCCAACACCGCCAACTTTTTGGCTACTCTTGTCAGATCAAATAATATGATTTAACCGTCAATTTTATAACACAACCAAGTCCCCAATATGCAGGGCATAATTTTTATGTATTTTATGTGGGGGGGGGGATAACAGGACGAAAAATGTATGACCTCAGATCCACGCTAACCATTGGGCCTCGCTACAGATTACTCAATCTCACCGGTTTCCTAAATACCGAACATGAAACACTTAGTGTTGTTTGCGTACTGCTATCTTGCATAAGCGGTTTTAACTTTTATAATACAGAAAATTTAGTTCATTCTATTTTATACTTGTTTTTTAGCGTTAAGTAGCAATTTTAAGGAACAAAATCACCGTTACCTTTGTATATACCGTTATATTTGTAGCACTTAGTAGTTTACCATGCAACAGGAAACTATACTGTAGCACTCACTACATGATAACGTTTCTCTGGAAGTAACAAGTTTTCATAGCTCTATACTAGGTACAAGATGCAGCTATTTTTATTGACTTAAATATTGCTTTAATTCGTCTGATTACCCAAATATTGGACTGAGTGTGGTTAGCATACAAGACTTTGAATATGAAGATCCAAAGTTCGCGTCCCTTTGCTACAAAATCTTGCTCCAAACTTTAGAACCATGGGTGCGTTATAAGAATGACGGTCAAATCCCATTACTATATTAGAGTAGCCTAACTCTTCATATATGTTCAGTCTATCCAAATATTATCCAATATTATTGAATACACTAGCTATTTTAATACGAAAAACTTCAATATAAGTTTAACATAACAGCAAATGTACAACGTTTCGACAAGGTTGTACCTGATGATGACAAAACTTATATTAAAGTTTTTCTCCATTACCCATTCAAGCCGTCTCCAGTCATTATTAGTCTCAAAGTGGGTTCCTCGTCACCGAATTTAAACTAGTTATCTGTCCCACGGTGGGGCAGCGGTAAGTTTACGGAATTACAATGTTAAAATCCGGGGTTCGATTCCCCGCGGTGGACACAGCAGATAGCCCGTTGTGGCTTTGCTCTAGCGTAAACACAAACAAACACACACTCTAGCTATCCTCATAGGACTGGAAAAACTAGATATCCAATATCATTGAATAAACTAGCTATTCCAATATTATTAGATAAGCTAGCTACGATTACTTTGTTGCTCACATCTAAAACAATATTAACTCATTTACAGGAATCATGTATAAATGAAAAAGCGGATATATTTTTGTTCTGCTTCTTAAATTAAGTGTTTTGTATAATCATTCGAAATTAATGAAGCATGCAAGATCAAAATTAGTTTAATAGTTTGTATATTTTTGTAATGAATGAACCACAAAAGACAGGGCATTTTTGCTAATTTAAGTAGAATTTTTATATCGAAGTCTAAATATGCAAGGTATAGGTTGTTGTTGTTGTTGTTTTTATTGATTTAGACATTACCCAAATTTCTTGAATTGACCAATTATCATCTCTTTACCAATTTCATTGCACCTCAAGGACAGGCTATCCCAGGTTGTTAAACAGTAAGCTTGAGAGCTTATAATGCTAAAATTTGGGCTTGATCTCTGTGCTGGGCACAGAGCACATAGCCAGTTGTGCAGCCTTGTGTCTGCATTTTACAAGCACTATCTTTATAGATTTCGCATTTTTAAGACAACCCTACAATAAGCCTTTTTATCATTTTCACTAAAATCTATTATTATTTAGCTCAAAATTTGTCGTCTAGAATGGCCTGATGGTAAGGGCACTCGACTGGCAATCTGAGGGTCGAAGCCCGTTTTTGAATATGCTTGGGGACGTTATAATGTGACAGTCAGTTAAGATGGTACAGATTAGTCCAAGAATTGGCGGTGTTAGTGTTAGCTACTTACCTTACTTTTACTGTATCACTTCAAATTTAGAAGCAGCTAGCGCAATGTTAGAAATGCCTCTAAGTTTCACACAAAACCAATTTCAAACTGTATAAAGTAGAATGCTCTAACAGAATTTAAGACCTACATCCAATACCCGAAACAATCTCGAGCCTACCTGTAGCTGTGTGGATATTCTTCGTATTTGTGGAGATTGTTAAACGATTTACAAAGCTGGCTATCTAATGGAGCTATATCCTCAATCCAATATATATATACACAGTAAACTGGTAAAAAAAATCAAGATTGTCCTTGCACCATAACGAACCCTCACCGACGCCTCTAGGCGTATAATGCCGATAATTTTTTTTATTCAACATTTTTCTTTTGTTATTAAGTTGGCTAGGTTGTTTTTTTTTTCGAGCTATCTTCCCATACAGTTTCAGTTATGTTGTCCGACTTAATATTTATTATTGTGTAATTGGTTGATATAAAAATTCACTGCGTAAACTCGTTCGTTCACGTGTATAGTACTATATCTATACAAATTAATGACCTCTAAAGCTGCGTTGGCCTACTTCAGTTTTCAAGGCTTATCGAATCAGTCACCAGAGGCCGATGTTCTCCT